GATGGCCGTGGCTATGAAAACTCGAGCCCTGGAGGAATGCATGGGCGTGGCCACAAACAATCAGCCCTAGTGACGGGCGTGCTGTCAGCACATCTGCACAACCGAATGGGTTGTCCATCGCAGAGCCGGGAAAACGAACACGAGCAGCCCTTCTCACTCCCCCAGTGGAGCCTAGTGCATCGACAGGAGAGCGGGCCGGTGCTCTATGAAACGAGGCCGGCGCATTCGGATGGATTCGTCTGGGACGCTGACGGATGTGGTCCCAGAAGATAGACACTTCACTCTTCCTGACTCATGCAGGATGGTTGTACCGTACTTAAAAAAAATAATAACATAATAACACATCCCCTGAAAATAAGCGCCTAGGTCTTCCTTGAGGAAAAATAAAGAGAAGACCCTGTCTTATTTGGGGGGAAACACGGTAGCTGTTACTGAACACGGCTCCCTCAAGTTTTCCTTGGGATGTTCTCATTTTGGAGGACACACGGTAATATCCCCAATCTTGATCTAGCTATTCTGTTTCTAAATATTTATGGACATGGATATTCAACACGGACTCAGTTGTAAAATAAAAAAAAAAAATTGGAATAAATTAAATATCCAAAGAAAGAACTCATTAAAAATACTATTTACATTTGGTGTCTATGTCCATATAAAACTATTTTCAAAGAGGAATAGGGCTATGCTTATGGCAAAACTAAGATTCAAGCCTATATAAATCTATCAGTATAACCTATATACAAAGCTGTATAAATATGCTTCCAACTAAATGTTTGTCTCACATAGAGATGTATTTATTTATGATGTGTAAAAGAAGGCAAGGCAGAATTCTAACAATTGCAATATCTCAGTACAGCAGAATTACCAACTGAAAGATTCTTTATCCTTTTCTTACATTCAGATTTTCTTCAATTAGCATGCATTGCCTTAGCAATCATAAAACAATTATAATTTTAAGTTTGATAATAAAATAATGAATATTTAATTGTATGTATTTATTCATTGCATTTACTCATTTACTTGACAAGACCTCTTCCCTCTATAATGCACCGTATTTATTTTCTGCTGGGTGGATGATGTTTAGTTGGTGTACTTTTAGATCTTATAGTTAATCAGTTTTGGCAGTGACCCGAGGCCTTCAGATTCTAACCAAGTATTCTTTGCCCTAGACTACACTGCAAAACAAGAAATAATTTAAAATTAACTAAAGGGAGCCACCAGAACACTAAAAGTGAAAAAAAAAATAAAACAAACAAACAAAAAAATCAGTCCAAATATGTCTGTACAAAGCGTTCAAACCCTGGGCTTGTGAGAATTTTGGAGAGCATTTCTGAAAAACTTGTTGCCGTCCAAATAAAGCATGTTTGTCTTGGATGCGAATTTATAAACAAGATGGCTGTAGAAGGTGAGAAAGGCATGCATGGGTCTTTGTTTGCTTCAATATTATTTTTGACACATTGAAATATTCCCGTAAGTGATTCGAATTGCAGTTGAGGAACCAAACCGAGTCAACAGAATAAATATGACAATTTGATGCCATCTGAGGATACCGGCATTTTTTTTTTTTTTTTTTTTTGCAGAAGAAGTTGTCTTGGGAAGCAGATGGCTTAGGTTTTGGCTTAGGTTGCATCTTTTTCCCCGGCTGGATGTAGACTTTTGCCCACTGGGTTCAGAGCGCTCTTGCCAACTCTAACACCATGGCAGTAAGTGAAAGGCAGGGTGGGTGAAATGCTTCCAGGTGGCAGAGGCTTTTAAAACTGTTTGGGATGCAAAGAAACACTCATACAGGTGACCAAGGGAGGGAACACACAACCGTGCCGTGTTCATGTGGAAAGGTTCGCAATTATTTTAGAAGCCGTCACCGGAATCTGATCAACCTGTGCTACCGTTTTCTCTGCACCGTCATGCCATGGCAGCTGCCTAGCCTCTCTGGCCTCTACTTGAACGCTTTTAGCACGGAGGAATGGTCAGTCTCTTGCAGATTCTCAACTTGGGGCCGTAAACTCCATAGGACTACCTAAATGAGCTTCAGAAATCAGATGACACCCTGAAATCACGTGCCAATTTTTGGATATTTAGGTTAAAGTCCATCTCTTCTTAGTCGGTTTCTCGGAAGGGTCTGTTGACTTCAAGAGAATTAAGAATTACTGCAGAGGCCGGGCGCGGCGGCTCTCGCCTGTCATCCTGGCACTCTGGGAGGCCGAGGCGGGAGGAACGCTTGAGGTCAGCAGTTCGAGACCAGCCTGAGCAAGAGTGAGACCCCGTCTCTACTATAAATAGAAAGAAATTAATTGGCCAACTAAAAATACATATAGAAAAAATGAGCCGGGCATGATGGCGCATGCCTGTAGTCCCAGCTACTCGGGAGGGAGGCTGAGGCAGGAGGATGGCTTGAGCCCAGGAGTTGGAGGTTGCTGTGAGCGAGGCTGACGCCACGGCACTCACTCTAGCCTGGGCAACAAAGCGAGACTCTGTCTCAAAAAAAAAAAAAAGAAAAGAAAAGAAAAGAAAAAGAATTACTGCAGAGATGGCCGATTCCGTTTTCAAACAGCTTGCATAATTGAAAAATCAGATGCAAAATGGTATCATAATAACCATTTTCCACCTCTCTATATCAAAAAATTCTCTGGGACCACATAGAATAAGTTAATGGAACAAACTATATCCTCCTGAAATCTCCACTCTCTAAACACTCTTATTTTTTTAAGCGTTTCCATTCTGATGACTGGTTGCCCCAATCTCGTCTATTCTCTTTTATACCCACTCCAGTTTGACCATTCATTGGTTCTCGAGAGACGGGGTCGTGCAGATTGCGATTTTCGCGTCTGACCTGAGCCACACCCGCCAGAGAGTGTTAATTCTTCTCCTGTTTTGTACCCCGATTTTATAGCAACAGAGAAATTTCCACTCTTTGGAGGGAGCCATGATAAAAGTTTGTCCTCTTTGGAAAAATCAAACAATTTTTTTTTTTTTTTGGTACCTGTGCAGATATTTACTCCAGTTCAACGAAGCGTACTGAGATTTTTTTTGCATCTTTCATTCCTACCCAACCCCCCTCCCTCTGGAAACTGAATCTGCCCTTTCTCTTGCTAGAACGATTGATTTTTTTGAGGCATGCTCTGTTGAACCATTGATGGGCTTGTGTTTGGCTTTTCAATTCAGGCCAGGCTAAGTCCCCTGTTTATACGCCAGTGCTCATCTTACCAACCCTCCCAAATTTCTCACCCCGGCATACAGAGGAACACAGGTCATAGAAGATGCAAAAACACTGGGCGTTCGAGTCTTAGTTTATCGCTTGATTACGTGGTAGGATCTCCAGACAGCTCCGTCATGATTTTGCAGGAAGAGGAGGAGGCATGACCTAGAAAGGCACATTTATCAAACACGCAGTTGGCACCTTGCCCGCGTGCCCCGATTTCAATAAACTCGCTCCACAAACGGCAGTTTATGAAACAATTGGGAAACTTTAGGTGTGATCGTTCCGCTTTGGATGCTTGTTCAGGGCCCTTAACTTTTAGAGACATGCACCGAACTATGCACAGATCATGATATAATATGATATTTATGATTTCCTTCACTATAATTCAGTGGAAGTGTGGCTATGTGGAAAAACGAGACAACATTTGCCATGCTGATGATCTTTGCAGTGAGTTGATGGGCAGAGGGAATTCATTACACCGTTATACCCACGTTTGTGCTTTAGAACATTTTCTGTGATAAAAAAAAAGTCAAAATTTTAGGAAGAGAAAACTTTCTTATAGCTATTGGAGTTGAACAAAATCAGCTCATACTTCAATAATAATAATAATAATAATAAAAATAAAAGGCATATCTGTGGAATTATTTTATTATCCCTAAGTCTCGGGTATTTTTCCTCGGAGACATGAAAAGTCAAAACAACAGTCCTAGCTTCCAAAGTTTCGATCTCTTTGGAGGGATTTGGGATCTTTCTTTTATTTATTTATTTTTTTAACTCTCTTTCTTTCAACTTGTGCTTTGGAGACTGATGCAAGACTTCCTAGCTGAAGTGCAGGGGCAATTTAGAAACCGCCCGTGGGAACTGCGGTTTTTTCATGCCGGTTTGGAGAGGTGCGAGTTCTGTCCTCTGCCTGTGTCGGCACTCAGAGCATCTTGTGCGAATTAGATAAAAAATGTCCCTGCTCACGGTGGAGGAACGGTTTGGTTTGGGTCTGGGCTGTACGCTTTGTTGATCCCTCAGCCCAGAGCTGCTTGCTGTCCGATGAACAAATTAAGTTTATTTGATCAGTCCGAGATTATAGAATCTCCTATTTTCCAGACTCTACTGCCCATTGAAATGAATTTTTTTTTTTTTTTTTTTTGTCATAAGAAAATCGCTGACTTACCACCCGCTCCCGCTTCTTCCCGGGAACTGCTGGGACAAACCGTTTTAAGCTCTCATGGGAATTAGAGGATCCTCTCTCTATGGTTCTCACGTGCAGCCTGCCCCTTCCATAAATCAGGCGCGCTGGGCACAGCCTTTCGTCTGCAGATTCCTAAAGGGCAAGAGAACACCCACGCCCTTTTGTAAATTAAACTTTAATTTTGAGATAGCTGTAGATTCACATGCGTTAAGAGAAATAACACACGTTTACAGTTTTCCCTGCTAACATCTATATAACTAACCAAAAAATATATAATGTGTAACTAGATAGCCACATCTGATGTAACCAATGTAACTAGCATATGTAACTAGAAAGCCCAACCATCTATATTAACCATGTACATACTAACATGTGTAACACATATAATCTAGATAGCCACCATCCTATATA